GCTCTGATGTCGAGGCATGAACTCTCTGATGGACCGCCTGGTACCCTGACCGGGTACCTCCGTCAATTGCTGCTTCCTAGTAATCCTTGAGTACCATAAGCACCGCATCGGACACCATAACCACCGTAAACCCCACAACCTGACGCAGCTTGGTGGGGGTCTCGCTGTCATTCACCCACCCTGGACCCAAGACCAGGATCCAGCTTCCAGTGTGTAGACCTCTCCTAGTCCAGAGAACTATCGGTGTAATCCAAGGGAGTCCCCAGAGTGAAAATAGCTCTCCAATCCCCCAAACATGAGCCTAGACTTTATAAAGGGTAAGACAAATCTGTTTAATGGCAGCCACAACTGGCCTTATATACAGGTCCCATGCAAGGGGCACTCCACCCTGGACCTGGGAGTAGACTACAGTAAAAACATACATACGATTACATTGGTTCTCAGGTCCAGGACAGTCCCATACAAAATAGGTCAATCCCTCTCCTGTGCCTGGGAGATAATGGAGTCAGCACTGTATTAAACTCAGTTATCTCAAGGAACAGAAAACATACATTTTTACAAAACCCCAAAAATACCTTTAAACACACAAAGATCTACAAAAGTAACAAAATCCCAGTTACATCCCCTGATAGCCCTGATCTGGGTTACCAACATATTCAAAAGTCACCCAGATCGGTTCAGGGGTTCAGGAATTTCCTGGAAGTCCTAATTCGACCGACCGCATACATAGTCCCATGCCTAAAACATGGGGAAATCAGGGTTTGTGATTGGTCTAGTTCGGTAGTTTAAAAAAAAAAACAAACAAAAAAAAAAACACTACCGAACATAGTCAATGTTCTTACCCTGGAACTTGTTCACCTTGTTCATGGGAACATTTCCACCGAACAGTGCGAACGCAGGTGATCCTGGAAGTCCAGTGGTGTTTGAGAGTTTCAATATCTGACAACAGTTTCATGAACTCAACGACCAAACACGGCTGCTAAACAAGATAGCAGCGGCCACCTAGACGAACACTTAGAACACTGTGGTGGAAAGTGTTACAAACTGTCAATTAGGCTTAACAAGCTCCTGGGTGGTCTCTGGTTGAGGGGAGAGACCGAAGAAGAGAGATAAATGATAGGGGTTGTGGTGTTCTGAGCAGTTTCTTAATTATAGGTATGCTTCTTCCCACCTGCCTGCCATCAAAAATTTGGGAGTCCCTTAAACAGTTCAAGGCCTAGGCTCCTGTGAATTACTCCCACAGGCCCAGGTGGAATTTATTCTCTAAGTAAGCAGGTTAATCTTAATCGAGCAGACACTAGGCTGTGAGAGTAGGACATGCCAAAGATGAGGTACATTGACATTGTGGCAGGCTTATGCAAAATATGATCATATACTCTGTTAGCTTTGACGTTGCTAGTAACTGGATGAGTGAGTGCGCTGGATCTTGTATAATACATATTTAGATAGAGATATATATATTTTAATTAAAGAAAAACACCTAAAAAGGACTAAAAACCATGGATTTCCTGGTCTGATGAAACGAAGATTAAAATGGTTTGGACTCAATTCAAGGTTTCAAGTCTGAAGTAAACGAGGCACTGGGCTTCCTACCCAATTTTATGCATAATACAAAGAGAGAAGAGAAAAAAAAAAAAAAGGAAAAAAAATTATTAACCTCTTAAAGACAGCCTCTGCCGTCCTTTTTTAGGTGGCTCTAAACACCGGAGAGCGGCATAGAATGTCCCCGTCGACATTATGTTTAACAAATATTTGATGTGACATGAAAGCCCTGTTTCTGTTGAACAAAATGATATATCATAAGTGTGGGTACATTTAATATGAAAGAAACTACAGTTAAACAGATGTATAGCGTAAATTCAAGGTTTTGTTTACGTTTTGATCACAACTAGCTCAGTCCTTAAGAGGTTAATAAGATGTTTGTCTGCACAGCTCCTGACTGTTTGTATTCTGGGTTCAGCTTCTCCTCTTCCAATCACTACAGCCAGCTATTGGCATCAGTGCTTTTCTGTAGCATTTGGAGGACGTGACAATTTGCATTGCCCGACCTGCATTTCACACAGCCTACAAGTGCATGCCTAGAGGTGGTTAGATGTCATGGAAAAAGGAGACTGTACTTTTTACCTTTAACAAAAAAACCCACACAAAACATATTGTACAACTGATTTTCCAAGCATATTAAAAAAAAAAAAAAGCTGTAAACATTTCTAAGAAATACCGTGTTATTGTATGATTAGTGTAGATGGTTACGCCTTGCTGAACTTAATAATGCAAAGTATGCTGCCCTCTTTATTTCCATTACATATTCTATTTAAAAAAAAAAAAATCCAAACACATGTATCAATTAGATGATTTCAATTACATAAGAAGAAAATTAAAAAAAAAATTGTGCCTGTCATATGTCATGCCCAGCAGCATAGAGCTGGGTTTAAAGTTAAAATATAGACTACTAGCCTGGCCTTAAAGGGTTACTCCAGCCACCATGACCATTTCTGCTTTTAGAAGTCATTTTGGTGGTAGGAATCTGTATGTGTAACATTTCTTCTTGAAACACTGCACACAGATATTTGCACCCCCTGCCCCTGCCACACATGATTTACACAGCTCAAAATACGGTTCTTACATCAGTTCTGTGGAAAAATTAGAGTGATTTTCTACCCTTTCAGGCAATGGGCCTGCAAAAACCAAACAATTTTTATAAAATTAAAATGTTTGAATATCCCCTATTTATAAATAGATTGGGAGGTTCTTATTTGGAATTCAAACCGGAAATTGCTTTACTCCATCTTTTGGGCTCAGAGATAAAGGATAATTTTGATATTGTGATCGTACATTGCTTAATGGCTACTAAAATTTTAATTGCTAGATTTTGGAAAAGTTCTGATATTCCCACGAGAGATCAACTTGAAGCACAACTTTTATTCCAAGTTGAGATGGAAAAGGGATTAATGTCTATGAGAGAATTTTCTAATTTGAAGGCCCTGACGTTCTATTCTAGCCTTGTCCAAAAAATTAAGAGGCTTTAGGGTAAATGATTTAGTGGGGTATCTTTATGACTTCCCCGCGGTTGGTAGAGTGTTCTCAGAGGGGGTTCTATTATTAGTCGCCTTTGCCTTATATTGTTTATTCTTTTCCTTAAAAGGTGGTTTTGGATCTGCAACACATACGACCAGTTTTGTCTTGTCTTTGTTTCTTCTTTTGTTTAATATATTTATAAGGTTCTGCACAGGTCGTTTTTGGACTACGATATGCAGCTGAGGGGATGTACGTTTTCCCAGTTTATGTCCTAGACGGCTTAGTGAGGAAATTTGAAATAGAAAATTGCTTATGTATGTATGTCTAATACGGATGGGAATCCTTATTTTTTTTTCTCTTCTGTAAGATTCCCTTCCATGGATGTTGTCTTTGTTTATTAATACTTTCATGAAAAACTGTAATAAAAAAGAATTAAATAAAAAAAAAAAAAAAAAAATGAATATTGTGATCGTATCTCCCTGTATTTAGAGCTCGGGGTTTTTCTTCATTTTTAGATATTCCCTCCCTTGTCCATTTCCAACTCCCTCCCTATAGTTGTCCAGGGCACACGAATGTGTTCCGAGCAGTGAAAACATTCCAGGCAAATGCTTCTCAGAAGCATTTGATCTAACTAAGGTGCGATGACCGTGTGAAAAATGAGGGAAGAGAACCTTTGCCCGGCGCTTGACTAAAAGGTATTAAAAACGGACACTAAAAAGGCTCCCCGACCACTTTATCGCAATGGAGTGGTCTGGGCACCATGTTCCAGCTGTTTTAATACTGAAAGTGAAACCATCTCTAAGGGAGATCTCATGTATTGGAATAGAAGATGCCTGTCCAACACACCTCAAGTGATGGCGGAAACATGGCAAAAGAGAAGTTTGAAGAAACACTATAGGGTCAGGAACACAAACCTTTATTCCTGACACTAGTGTTAAAAACACCATCTAGTCCCCTTAAATATAATAAAGTCTTATTTTTATTCCAGTCTGCTGCTGTTGGCTCTGCCTGCTTCACTTATATCATCAGATGTGTTGAACAAAAGCCAATCACCATGCTTCCCCTTAGGAAAGCATTGGATTGGCTGAGACTCAAGGAGGCAGATCAGGGGCAGAGCCAGCACAAGCCAAACACAGCCCTCCAGTCAGCATCTCCTTAGAGAAGTGCAATGAATCAATGTACCTCTATATTAGGAAAATTCAGTCGGTGGAGATACGGAATGGCAGTGCTGCCCTTGGAAGCACCTATTGTAGCCATCTTAGGAGTGGCCAGTGGAGGAATCCCTAGACAACAAACACTGCATGGTCTAATATATATATATATATATATATATATATATATATATATATATATATATATATATATATATATATATATATATATATATATATATATATATATATATATATATATATATATATATATATATATAAAAAATAAATAAAAAAAAAAAAAGGGAAGAAGGATTTACTGCAAAAAGCCTGAAGGGGATGATTATACTCAACAGAACAAATACAATAAGCTGCAGTTCTGGTGACTATAGTGCCCCTTTAAGCCAGTGTCATTTGTCAGCCTGTTCATGAGACTAAAGTAATCCATAGTTTGTTTTATACATATTTTCAAACTATATTAGACATTGGTGGCCATTAACTTTGGCCCCTGATGTCAAATGGAAGATTGATGGACACTTTGCTCTCCCAAACATGGATTATAAACATGGGACATTCCATTACAGGTTAATGGTACTACAGGAACATCTCAGTCTAGTTAAGATTTGAGTAGCTGACATAATAGGTAAATAAATGTTCGTTACTGTTATAGCAATATATATATAATAATAAAAACAAAAAAAACCCTCACGTGTTAGGCAGGGCATGACAGAAATAGAAATTGTGTAATAATTTTAGCAAGCAAGAGTCTATGGTGTGTTACCTCTAGTTCCTTCACAAAATTACATTTCATAAATAAAATCACAAGGCCAAAAATGTATGAAATCACATTTATTTATACACTCTTAAATCCTGAAAATACAGGAACACAATTATTAGCACTTCGTTACGAAGGGTACACTTTCCAATGACCATTTGATCATAATTTGACCATTAGTTTTGGTAGCTTACATGGCAATACCTTCACCACCGTATATAGCTGCAATATTTATATATAAGAAAAAAAGAAAAATAAATCATTGTTTCAGTTGTGCGGCGAGGTTGAAAATGGTTGTCTGTATCTAACCAACACACTGCAGCACAGCTTTGTGTAAATCATGATGCCTTGAAACAAGACCCAGCAGCATGATAAGAAGAGAGGAGATGGGGGGGAAAAGCCACAATGTAAAATAAATGTATCCCTTCAAGGACTGACTTCCACATTGAAAATTTTTCATTTAGCTGTATTTACATAGGCAAACACAGAACATGCAAAACTAAAATTTAATATCAAAAGAAATTTTGGCAGTTGTATCAGGCAGAAAAACACAAGGTTATGCCCGCCAATAATTTAGATTCTGGTTTAAATTACTTTCTTCCAGTAGGAAGGCAGTTATCTTTTCAATTTGTCTGAACAGCATACATTTAGGTGTTGGATGATTTTGTATCCAAGTCAAGAGTAATATTATATTACATAAAATTAAATAATGCTTTTTAAATGGGCTCCTGACCATATTTCAAGAAATGTCTAAGCTTTTTTTTTTTTTTTTACATACCAACTTTTTATTTCCTGCAAAGTATGGTTACACTGCAGCACATCAATGCTTTTACAGTACCACAGTGGTATTTTGACATGCATACCAGATTAAAATAGGCAGCTGCATATACCACGTTTTGACAAAAGTATACTTTCAGACAAAGCTACTTATAATTGCCTGTCAGCACCTCCAGTTATAAGAGCTGAAATTGCAGTTATGAGCAATGGAAAAAAAAATATTTAAAAGCACCCATTTTATCATTCGCATTAGCTAGTTTTGAATCTAAATACATACTCAACTCATGTTTTGCAAAGCTACAGACAACCAAGACTCAAACTATTCGTTATGAAAAAAACAAAACAAAAAAAAAACAAAAAAAAAAAAACACAACAACACACTGGTATAGTAACAGGCTAATCTTCTACATCACATACCAGAAGGTAAGGCAAGATCGTACACCAAGATTTAAAAAAAAAAAATATATAAAATATATATAAAGCTGCCAGAGAAGTTTGCACCAGACACATTACTCACAGCACATCTTGGGAGGTTAAAATTAACACGTTTCAAAAAGACATTTCATTTGTTGCACAGATTTTATACCAAGGATGTGAAAAAAAAAAAAAAAAAAAATTACATTTGTGTAGTTATCCAACCCCAAGCAAGTATCTGCAGCCCCTGAGGATAGGATTTAGTCCCATTAGCTTATGTCAGCTTTGCATCAAGAGTTTAATACATAAGCGGGCATTAAAGTTTAGAATAGCAAACATATCAATTTCACTTCCAGGGATTTCCAAAAAGGGACCCAAATGAGTGCCAAATTAACAAGACAGATCTTAGTGTTTAGATGCTGCATACCTAGGAACAAATTTCAGATCTGCCTTAAAGAAAAAAAAAAATTAACCTCTGCTGTGCAAAATATCTTGCAGAAATGACCTTGAGGAAATACAGCCAGTGAACTCTGTCAGGGGAGGAAAAAAAAAAAAAAAAAAAAACCCATATACACACACAATACAACAAAAACAAGCCAGTCTCTGGGCTCTAAACAAGACAGTACAATTGCTTACTACCAAATAAGGACAAGGGCCATGTGCTCATTAATATGTGCCTACCCAGGATTCTCTGCAGTCATTCAATAGAATTCAAAAATGGCAGACAACCCCGAGAGTCATATGAATGAAACATGTATTTATATATTAAAAAAAAAAAAAATTATACTCCAACATAAAACAGCAATATTTGCAAAAAAGGTTGCTTGTCCAAAAATGTAACCACCAGCAACCATTTGATAACCTGCAAAATATAAAAAGCCACCACCAAAAAAAGGTTTGAGCTATGAAGCGTTTCAAGTATCTTGGAACACACAAAAAAGGGACAAACATACCACCAGGCCATTGAAAACAAAAACTGTTACAAATCTTCCAGTTTTCAATAACTGGTTACAGATAATTTGATCATTTGTCCCTGAGAATTCACAGTGTGTGTGTGTGTGTTTCGGTGGCATTTCCAATCGTGTCCTCTTATTTGTGGAGGGAGGGGGGAAAGGAAAGTCAACTAAATTGGTTTTGAGATCTTAAAGAAAAAAAAAAAAAAAAAAGTACATTTGAATTTTGCTGGTGAGTAGGCCCAACATACACCCTCTTGGCAGAGTGCTATCCTGAAATGGTGTAGGTATTGTTCATCTCCAAACCAGCCCATCCAAGTTATTTTGGGTCAATGTTGGGTTGTCATTTCGCTCCATCGCAATCTATTTCTTTAATACAAAATTATAACATTTACCAAGAAAAAAAAAAAAAAAAAAGTTGTCAAGAAGACATACCCTAAGTTTCTAACATTAGGGATTGGCATGACCAGATGTGGCATTTGAAGAAAAAAAACAAAACAAAGAAAAACCCACCACACACCCTGGTGAGATTGGTGGTCTCATGATATAATATATACCATGGTGACAGCTTGACCACCATGCAATATCTCCCATTGCAGCCTGTGTCTAGGCTTTTGTCCCAGTTCATTATTTGTGTTTCTCAGCTGCAGTAAGGGCAGCAGCACAGGATGTGAACTCCTCTGGGATTCTCAGATTTTTTTTTATATCCAGTTTTATTGCTGAATAAAAAAAATGAACCCCCACCCCCTCTGGCACCCTGTGATTTGCTGGGGTGTCTCCAGGCCTTCTCCTCAGCCCCTGGGCTCCCAGTGTGGTCTCCAATGTGAGCATTAGTTGGTCCTGGGTGTCAGTCACTGCACGGGGGTCTCGGTGGGCTCAGGGCCCTCTCCAGCCAGGTGCAGCCTCCTCACTGCCTCCTTGATAAGGTTCCCATTGAGCAGCAGTTCCTGCAGCAGCTGATGGGGATCCTCCTCCTCCTCTTCCTCCCCCTGGGCTCCCTGCTGCCCATGCTTCCTGCAGCCTCCCCGCAGCCAGCCCCGGCCGCACAGTTGCTTGTGGCCCACGCAGTCCTGGGGCCTGAGGCTCTGGTGGGAGCACCTGACGGCCCCCCGGGGGGTGCACAGCGAGTACGGCGTGGCCCGGCCCCGCACGCAGGAGCAGGGGGCTGTCCGAGGAAGGGCCGGGGGTCTGAGGCACGAGGAAGCCGGGGCTCGCTGGGCGTTGAGCTGCAGGGCTTCCCCTATCCGGGCGACCAAGGTGTCCACCTCCTTGGAGCCCACGGTGACAGACTGCTCCAGCAGCAGGAAGCTCTCCTTGCGGCACGGCATGACGGCGAGGCTGCTCGCTGCAGGGAGAACTCACCGCCCGGCTCAGCTGCTGCTACCGGCCCGGCTGGGTTTGTAAACAATGGGTGACGTATCTCTTTAGACGGACCGTACCACTCTCACGCTGCGGGGGGGGTGAGTGTAGGGCACGAGGGCATCGTTTTCACCACAGGCGTCGCTTGTATTCCATCGTGGGTGACACAAATCCCGTGGATAATACACAAGGCTGCCGGAGAGGCTGTAAAATATTAACAGTGGGCATTAAAAGAGAAAAATGAACGGACTGAACCATTTCTAGCACCCCCCTTTTTGTCTTTCGCAGGATGCGGCTCCGCCCATTTTCTTTTTTTGAAAACCCATCGTACGTTAGTGACGTCAGCCTTGTTTTGGTATGTGCCTGTCAGTGTGTGTGTGTATGTATATATGTGAGACCTGGTAGAAGAAGGGGCGGTCTGTCATGACAGGGTGGGCGGGGTCGTTTTTAAGAGGGGCGGGGCTAGAGCTCTATTCAGACACAAAAGCGGCAGTCACAACACGTTGTAAGGCACGTGGGGGAGGGGAGAGAGCGTGGTGTGACTGTGTGTATGTGACCCTGGGACGTTCGGTCACCCTCCTCCCCCGCCCATGTGTCATGGTTCAGCCTGGTCTCTACATAAACAACAACAAGGCTAGATCAGGTCTATCTGCCTGCTGCCCCCAGCAGTGTAACAGCCATGCTTTCTTAGTGCAGATATTGTCAAAACATGCTCACACAGGGCAAGCAGCCATATTTTTTTTAATAAATACTTCAAAGAGAGCATATGTTCTTTGTCAGAGTTATTCCATAAAACAGGGATTGCCAGTAGCTGGTAATGGGGGCATTCTCTGCTGCAGAACCCCTGCCCCCATGAGTTCTTGTTCACTATAAACACAAATTACTGCAGCAGGGGATTGAAATACTTAGCAGAAAATATGCGGCCATTGTTAATAAAAATAGATTTAGGCAAAAATAACTGATTTTGAAACATTCACTAGTCATTTTTGCTAGCCTAAAGTTGGCTATTCTATGGTGAATTCCTGAGAACCTATGGAGAGGATATTTGGGGTAAAATTGACACAGAGGGTCTGTGGCGGAGTTGGAGAATTTTTCCGATCCGCTATTTTGGCTCACATTTATGTACACTCTTGGGCATGTGTATAATGTATGTATTACATATGCCATCACCTCTAAATTCCTTTGCTACCTCTTGTCTCATCTCCCCATTTTAACATTTAGATTATAAGCTCATGGGCAGGGCCCGCTACCTTTTATATTAATCTGTTTATATTGTACTGTCTCTTTCCCAATTGTACAGCGCTGCGGAATATGTTGGTGCTTTTTAAATGCCAGTAATAAATATGTATATTTTATTTATTTTATGTCAGAGAAAGAGTCGAGTTAGGTACATCAATCTCCGCACAATAGAGAACATCAGCTATTATGAGGGGTACACTATTAGCAGTGGTGCAAGATAATTAATTTCCATCAAATTCATATACAGAACAATACATTTTCCTTACAAACTTTTGCAATCCACTAATCAAATATACATTCCCCCAAATGGTGCCCTTTTCTATTGAAACTTATATGTAGGGTATTTTTGTTAGTGTATTGCTTTATACTCTGTACTATTTCTGCTCATTATTACAAAATAACTAAAACATTAACCTTAAATATGTGTAATTGTTTTGTATGTCATTAAATATCATACTTCTGGGCTAGCTGTCACTTTTGTGCAAAATTGGCATGTGATGCCACCACACACAGTTTTTCGGGCCACACTGCCAACAGTGACATGGTTGCCCCCTCTGTGCCCCCACTCTCTTGCCTTAAGTTCGTTCTCCCTTATCTTCCTCCTACTACAACAAAGGGAAATCAGCCATGAAGGACCAGACTTCAGGGAGATCTTTGCCTCCATGCTAGAATAGAACGCTGGTGGAACTACTGCCTGCTGAGGGAGCCGGACTGGTCCACCTAGATACCGGGAAATTTCCCGGTGGGCCACGGCACCTGGGGGCTGTGCATGTAGGTTCCACCGGAAGGCCGGTCCAGTCGCAAACTCTGAGGGAATCGGCCGCGTTCCACACTGGTGCCAGGTGGCCGCCTAGCCAGTCCAGCGGCACACTCACTAATGCCGACAGCAGTGAGCGGTCAGCAAAGGAGGACTGAAGAAGGGAGCATGTCTCTCTATCATGCTCGCTCGCTATGCTGGGTATCGTGGGAACCGCGAGGGACCATGATAGAGAGACATGCTCCCTCCTTCAGTCCTCCTTTGCTGACAGCTTACTACTGTCAGCATTAGTGAGTGTGCCGCCGGACCAACTAGGTGGCCACCCGGTCCGGCGGCACCAGTGCGGCCCCCTCTGACTTCTTTTGGTAAATGGGAGGCGGAAGGAAGAGACAGAAAGGGAATAGAGAGACACAAGGGGAGGGGTGAGAAAGAGACAGAGAGGGGGAATAGATAAACACAGGGGAAGAGGGAAGAAAGAGACAGTGGGAGAATAGAGAGAGACACAGGGGGAGGTGAAGGAAAGAGCCAGAGGGGGGAGAGAGGGTGACACAGGGAAATGAGGGAGAACGAGAAAGAGGGGAAAGAGTGAGGCACGGGGGGGAAAGAGGGGAAATAGAGAGATGGTGGAGGGGGGAGAAAGAGGGGGAATAGAGAGATGGTGAAGGGGGGAGAAAGAAACAGAGGGAGAGAGACGCACAGGGGAGAGGGAAGAAAGAAATGGGGGAAGAGAGAGACACAGTGGGTGGGGAAAAAGTGACAGAGGGGGAAGAGAGAGACTGGGAAGGAGAGGGGAGACATGGACACAGAGGATCACAGAGGATCAGTGACGGGGAGAAAGAAACATACAGAGGAACTGGGGGGAGACAAAGAGGCACACAGAGGGGCTGGAGGTGGAAAGAGACACACATAGAACTATATATATATATGACATGTATATTAATGTGTGTATTAGTTATACATAGAATTATGTCTATAATATTTACACATATTATTGTACATTTATATATGCATAATACACAGAGAAATGTCATTAATATGTACCATATGCAATGAGCAGATATTGGCCCAGTCTTGCTGCTAGGTGCATACTCCAGCACAATAACATATTTAAAGTGAAGAGCGCACCCACAGGACTTCAAAATAAACAAGATAACGTCATTTTTTACAGTTGTGCCCTACATTCATTCACCATTTCAGTCCCATTACCGAGCTTTCCTTAATATGTCAAGGTAGTTGGACTGAAACATTGATTACATGCAAAGGCACGTCTGCTTAAAATAAATTTAAAAAAAACAAAACTTTTTTTTTTATTTTGAAGCCTATGAGTGCTTTTTTTCACGTTGGAGTAATAATTTTAAATTTTAAGTTATCTTTTCTAACTCTGTATCAGCACACTATCCTGCGCGATGCATTATTGGGCTGGTAAATAATTTTTTCCCAGGGCTGCTTTTAGTTCCCAGTCTGGCCCTGGGGCCACCCAATGGGCATGTGTCATCAGGGGCGCTGTTGTGAGCTGCGACTCTTTAGCAATGCGACCGGATCCCTTTAAAGATGATGTGCTGGGAGAAAGTGAGAGCCAACACTACACACAAATACACCCCTGCAGTCAAATGTCAACACTACATTAAAACACACCTACATTCACACACACATACTCCATACAAAAACATGCTTACATTCAAACATGCAAACACTGCTCAGTACTAAATACAACCCTGCAATGATGGGCAAATAGTAGATCCCCAACAAAGCATTGTGTGAGTTTTGCGACAAATGAGATCTACCTTTTGGCATAGAACAATTCTTACACCAGGCAGGGTCATCTTTACACACTGGGTAGATCCCTGGGGGCCCTGCAAAGATAGGAACCCCACCTTGATGTCCATAGTGAGGTCGACAGGGGAAATCATTTCATCTCCTCTACTGGCACATGCAGAGCAAGCCTCACTGTCTGCCTTCTCGGGCCAGTGGGAAGATCAAAGATCTCAGGCTTTTTAAATAAAAATAACAACAACATAAAAACATTTGCTCCCTTATCATGATATAGTATTGCATATTTCGGAGGTACCAATGAATAGAAGCTTAATTTTATCGATAATTAAAATTTTTATTCCTGTGAGTGGTTGTGTAGGCAGGGCCCCGTGCACTGCTTTGCCCGGCGGTCTATAATGCTGTTAAGACGGCCCTGGCACCAGGACCCTCTCTTCGTTAGTTCCATCAATTTTTATAGTTTCGTGGGCAGACAGCCTCAGAAACCAAACCAGTGTTTTATTAAACCCTTTCATTATATATTACACATTGCTTTTGTAAATATATTTACTGTTGGAAAGAGCACGTGCGTAAAAAGTTAATCAGCCACTGGACTCACACAAACTCTACTTCTGTAAATATATGGTGATAATATTTAAACAGGAAATTGTATTTACTGTGCAATCCTGTTCAGCTGGTAACACTTTATCTATAGAAACTAATCAGGATGTGTGAACCGAGTTCACTTCTCATGTTTCAAACGGATGAGCTAGTAGAAAAGTGATTACTCAATGTACCAGGCACATATTTTTTATAAACTACTGGCATCCAAACATGTTTTCTGAAGCAACTTCCTGGTAGTGATTAGGATAAAGGGGAACTGGTCACTTCCTTGAATTTTGAATATTATGTTTGCAAATCCTTATATTGAACAAATAATTATTTGTGAGGTGTGAAAAATAAATTAAATGCTCTTTATACTGCAGCGGAGCGCCTTCATTTTAATGTATTGTCATTCATTATTAAAAACGTTATCTTTTACATCTGGCAAAAATCATTCAGTGAAGAGGAGAAAATAAACAATTTTTCTATCCCTCTCCTTTATTTGCAGTGTTTATTGGATTATGATACCCTGCGCTAAATCTTTAATATAAATTTAAAAGAAATAGAAAAGCGTCGGGTATATTCCAGAGAAGTGACAGTTGCCCTTTAAAGGGGAGAATTTACAGCAAACCTTTTTTAATGAACAATTATGTACAGTGCAGCTCATAATAGTTGTTCTCTAAGAAGAGGCAAGTACAGCTTGCCAGTTTCAATAGAAAAATCGTTACATCCATAAACTTTGTAGGAATTAAAAACAATAAACTCCTTCCTTTTTACCAGATCAGCAGAAAGTAATTTCACATATTGACAGAACTTAACCCCTTAAGGACGGAGGCAAGTTCTGAACAAAAATGTAACGTAGAATTTGGCTAAATGTTTGTTCAACCTCTTTCATATTAAAGGGACACTACAGGCACCCAGACCACTTCAGCATATTGAAGTGGTCTGGGTGCACTGTCCTTGCCCCCTTAGTCCTGCAATATAAATCATTGCAGTTTTTTAGAAACTACAATAATTACGCTGCAGGACGAAGACTGTTAAAACCCTATAGTGTTCCTTGAATGCCATATGGAATAGTACAAGATGATGGCGACAGAAAATAATGTAGACGAGTAGACAAACCAAAGTTTAAAGATAATAGACCGGGGAATGGTCAAGATACAAGCCAGGGTCAGATACACTAAATACATCTAGAAATTGAACTCTCAGATAACCACAAAAGGTAAGCCACGACAGGCACAGTATAAGGACCAAAATTAGCTTAAGAAGTCCGGTGATTGGCTGATTGTGGTCATGTGATGCCAGAACATGTGTGCATGACATCTGCATTATGACGCACATTTGCGTCATTATTTAGGCTGGGGAAGATCACAGAGTGCTTTATTATTAACTAACTATAAACTCATAGTATCCTTATTGAAACAGCAGGTGACATCAATCTTGTGCACTGTTTTAAATTACATATTTGACATTTTTCAACCTGAGGCAGTGACAAGATATCTGGTGGAATAGCAAAACTATTCCAATATAAAAAAAAATGCATCAGTTACATAAACTATAAATTACATACTGTTTGGAGAACAAATCTGACAAGTTTTAGGGTGCTGTGAACGTTATGATTTAGCTTCAGTTTCAAAATTGTATTATTCTTAATGTTTACAATGTTTCACAGAGGGGTACGTTTTAAAAACATATATAATAAGACTATGCTGATAGGTAATTAGAATTGTAAAGGGAATTGCAAGATTTCTGCCAAAGATAGCCAAGTGGGGCTTGGGGGAGAATTTCTCCAATTCAACAATGTTTGCCTAAATTTTACAATTCCTGTTTCATCTTCCAGCAAATGTTTGGTGGGTGGGAATGTGAATATTAATATAGGTTGTTGGCTGAAGCGAGCTATGTCATTTGGTTGGTTGGTAAGTGTAGCGGACCAGGTTGTTAGAGGTATGCGAACAGGGTGGTAGATGATGGGCAAAGTGTTGTAGAGAATAAAGATTATAGGTCGCGCCAAAAAACACTGAAAAGATATAATCAAACCAAAAATAGATAGCAGAGATAAAATAATGGTGAAAATAACACCGCAATATGCTATAAACTAGTAGAGACACAGTATGTACTTACATATATCAATAAAGATAAGATAGAAATAAGTCCTAATAACAAATGAGCATGTAGAAGGCCAGATCCACTTGTAGGGACTTGAGTGTAGTGGCGGTCTATGCAGATTGTAGAGCTGAAAAGTGGTCAGGTTCTCTTGTTCTGGATGGAGATATGTAGATAAAAAGGGAACATTCCAATAGTGCAGACTGCGACTAAAAATTACGTAGAAATAAAAACTTCACAGCAGGAAGGTATTGGACTCACCTATTGGAGAGCTGGAACTAGTTCAGGTGTAACTCGCATTCAGTGGCATCAGAAGAAGTCCTCAGTGTGGAAAGAGAGAGAAAACAAATATAGTGCTCACTGTATTTATATTACAGCAGATAGAAATAAGAACATGGAATACTCACATTTAAGTGAGCAGAATGTGCTGCTCACTTTAATAGCGTAGGTGGTATAATCCCCACCTGGGATTCTTGAGCGAGTGAGTGATTCGATGTAATGAATGACCAGGTTCAAATAAATAAAAATATAAAATAAAATAAAACTTTAAAAAGTAGGGATAAAATAAAAGGTATATGGCAACTGCAGAATAACAGCCAGTATTCCTTTATTAGTACATTAAAAAGGTAATTAAAAATAGCCAACTTAAAGTGTTGTACGTGTGGCAATTAGTTGGCATGTGACTGGGTTGATAAGTATATGTAAATTTCAGGCAGTGGCTGGTGAAATGTGACTGGATGATAGTATGTAACAAGTTTAGAGGGTGCATGACAGCTGAACGTAATTAAATGGGGGCTGGTGAGAACGTCAGACTGGGTTCCCATTACAGCCATGCATGTTGTTAACAAGCTAGTTGTGTGGTCATCTGTAAAAGGAATCCACAGTGAATGTAAAGAGAGTAAATCCAGGTGAGGGTGGGTTTACTGCACCTTTAACTAACACCTGGATCTTCCCACAAAGTCCTACGTGTACTGGAGCAGGAAACCAGACCAGCCCCACTATTCCACAAATCTGAGACGTTAAAGAACGTGTGGCCTTGTGGCAGGAAGAAAGTTCCACCCACTGCAGCTTTTACTCAGTACAGGCAGCACGAGATGAGGGATACTTCAAAAATGTCCAACCAGGACCTCTGTAGGGTCAGCATCATATATCACATATATATATACCCTTCACCCCCACCCCGTTATAGCATTGGTTACAGAGATATTAGGCCACAAGGAGGTTTCCACATTTAATAAGTAGTTTGGGTTACCAGGTCATCCATGGTTGGAAATAGGCAAAAAGCTCCCACAATGTAATTATTGTGAAATAAGCTGCAGCTACTACAAAGCCAGGCTATTTATATGAAATAGTCTTTATTTATTTATTTCAAATGTATAGTTTTTATTGAAAGGTTTTCAAAAAGGAAAATGGTCTTTATTTATCAATGGCTTCCCAGTTCTCAGCCTGGACCATGTATGAGGAAAGGTTTCATGTAGTGTCTCTATGATTATGCACTCATTAATTATAAATATATTATAAAGCACTGCGGAATTAGTTGACGCTATATACATACCAATAATAATAATAATTATAAAATGATTTCTACATAAAATTGTCCTTCTACATCTATTATATATCCAATATCCAGTGGTAGGGTCTCAATTATAATATCTATATTTCTTTAATGATGTTTAAATCCTAAAGGAACACTGTTTGCCAATGATTTATTATTTTTTACGCAGAGTCTGCTGGGGCCAATGACTGCCTCTGAGAGTCTCTCTTCACTCAATTGAGCCCAAACATGCAAGACTTAGCTCAATGGCTAAGTGTGATCAGGAAACTCCTAGCAGGAGCTTTGGGCACTCTATACAGGAAGTTACCAGCATTTGGCGGACCCCAGATAAGAAGTCAAACTGATAGCAGGGCATTCCTATAACCATACCTTCAGCAGTGTGCTGTAGTTGTTATGGTATTTGGAGAGTTCCTATGAATATAAATTTGACATATTTGTGTCATACGTGTCAGAATGTAAAAATAGAAATGCTTTGTTCTTTATTTATTTATAATCAGTTAAAAAATGTTCCGTGGGAGCCTGACTGCTGAACAGATCAGACGTGTCTCGTCTGAGCTCCAGGATCTGGGCCAGAGAATCGGAGCCAACTCAGTGCCACAAGCCGCTACCAACCCCAATTGGACCCCAAACTGTCCACAAGATGGGGACACACAATATGGTACAGCACCGGAGTAACCCGACCAAGGCCTGGGGCCTACGAGAGCTTGAGCCGGGGAGGGACGGCCGCCCCCCCGGGTCTCCGAACGGCGTCCTGCGATCCCCCCCCCCCCTCTGGACCGGTGGGGGTTATCCCGGTCCCCACGGGCGACCACCAATGTCGTCTGCCGAGCCCAAGCGCAAACAGGGCCGCAGAGCACAAGCTGGACAGAGCGCTCCAAAATGGCGGACAGCGTGCAACCTCATGGGCAAACGAAGAATGTCCCACCGAGTCCTGCAGGGACCATGAAGTGGAAGTACTGGCTGGCAGCCCGCAAACCAACAACCTACCCTAAGCTACGAGAAACACCGACAAGCAGCTGTATGTCGGTAGACAAAGAGCGGGAATCGAGGAAATTCTCCCCGGACGCCAGTGGTACACACACCATGCAACCTTATCGCACAAGCACTCACAGACTGCGGCCGCCCAGAAGCTTCAACCTCGACCGTCTGCTCCAGTCGCGGCGGACCCGAAAGCACAAGGGGGAAGCGCCATACTGGGTTCCATGCCAGCCCCTATGCGGCCTTCAAAGAAAGCACTCAACCCACGAGACGCAGAAGCAGACCCCCAGGAGTGTCCATGGCTACGAGAGGAACCTGCCGGGTCTTTTCTACCGGGTCCCCAGAGACACTATATGCCCAATTCAAAGGCTAGATGTTTTTTCTGGACTCTATGTTGGACACTTAGACGCTGCTCCAGTGTTACACATACTTAAACAAAACGGTACCAACAGACGCACAGACACCAGGACTAACACAGCAACAAACCAGCACAAAATAGGTAGAGACACACATACGCACAACCCAAGACACTACTCAAGACAGACACACACTACCGCAGGCAACTACAGTACACACAAGCCCTGACAAACTCATCTGATACTAACCAAGAAGACCCCAGACCTGTCCAGAAAAGTGGAGGCAGACTAACACCACACAATCCATGATGGCGCCCGAGGTAGACCAAGCTAGAGTTAAACCACTTAGCCCAAGCGATACGCTAGAAACCGTACAACCATTTGCTTAGAACCTGTACACGTGTAACTATTAACCAGGCAAATCTCAGTGAAACCAAATGTAACTTAAAATATATCTGTGTTCATGCTCCCACTGTCAAATCTGTCAATACTGGCGATGATTATAACGGGAGCACCACTTGCCTAAGCTTAATACTCTACTATTACCATTATAAAAATTGTGCAGACATTAATGTGCCATATGTGAAATATCTGTTGTAATTGTGTACGTGACTGCTATTGTGGCACCACGGCTCATTTGTGAAATCTTGCACACAAAAATAAAGATTAAAAAAAAAAAAAAAAATGTTCCGTGATGTACTTATGGTTTCATAATTAATAAAAAAATATTAATGTTTTCATTTTCTTCTCCTTAATCTTCTGGACAGGAACAAATATTTTTCTTCTTAAACATCAGTTAAAACTGGCAGACAGAATAATGTCTCTGTAAAATAAAAGCACAAGTCCCAAAGAGTTAGCAGGCAGGTGGGAATTCCCAAAATCTTCATTTTATAGCCATGCATGTAACTGTGGCAACTGGGTTAATAATGTTTGTATACCTGGAATCATAACCTCGTATCTCATAATCATAGCTATGCTGCTTTAAACCTGAGTGGGTGAAATAGTTATCAGTCTCACATATGATGTCAGTGTGGGATACTTCGCTTCAGTACAACCACATGCTCAGCTGAAATTTGACTACAGGGACAAGAAATGATATGCTGGCTTAAAGAGCATCAGAAATGCTCATGACATAGCACCTTGGCATATATTCATCAGACTGCAAATAGAGGTACATCGGTTATTGATTCTAAAGGAAAATAAAGGTTCCGTTAAGATAACACCTTTAAAATGTTAAACAACTTATGAAATGGTACTTACGTGGCGTATATTTGTCGCTTGAATAAAGTTCAGATTAACAGATAAAGGATATGAAAACGATGTTCTTTTTTTGAAGTTTCTGCAGTTTTAAATATATATTTTACAGTTTTCAGATTATCTACTGTGGATTTCATTACACTATGGGGCGTTAGATAGTCCCCAAGGGCCTACAGTGGTCTACATGATTTTTCTCCCATTCATCCTTTTCTGAAAGCATTTTTTTTACAACCACATGCTCAGCTGAAATTTGACTACAGGGACAAGAAATGATATGCTGGCTTAAAGAGCATCAGAAATGCTCATGACATAGCACCTTGGCATATATTCATCAGACTGCAAATAGAGGTACATCGGTTATTGATTCTAAAGGAAAATAAAGGTTCCGTTAAGATAACACCTTTAAAATGTTAAACAACTTATGAAATGGTACTTACGTGGCGTATATTTGTCGCTTGAATAAAGTTCAGATTAACAGATAAAGGATATGAAAACGATGTTCTTTTTTTGAAGTTTCTGCAGTTTTAAATATATATTTTACAGTTTTCAGATTATCTACTGTGGATTTCATTACACTATGGGGCGTTAGATAGTCCCCAAGGGCCTACAGTGGTCTACATGATTTTTCTCCCATTCATCCTTTTCTGAAAGCATTTTTTTTTTTAGTTGGTTATAATGCCTATGGGGGACTGCTCAATGATCCTGTCTCCTCGTCTAGTGTATGGCAATTTTGGGTTAAAATGTATTTATTGGCTATGTGAAGATTGGAGTTAAGAAGCTAGATGGGCATGGGCGGTGGCACTTTGTCTAACCCCTGAACCCCCCTCTTTTCTATTCTTTTTGTTTCTTTAAAACAAAATTTAGGAGGATAAATGGAACTGCAGAGAAGACCACAGATTTAAGAAGATCTGTTATTTGATCAATCTTCACGTTTGTCGCATTGTATACATTTTTTTTTGCTGCTATGTATCAGTTGTCTCCATATGTGCTGTATGGTATCTGTGGCGGCCGGCTTGGCCGCTAATCGCTGCTTGCTAGTAATCCTTGAGTACCATAAGCACCACACCGGACACCATAACCACCATAAACCCCACAGCCAGCGTTACAGCTTGGTTGGGGTCTCGCTGTCCTCCATCCACTCTGGACCCAAGACCAGGATCTAGCTTCCAGTGGGTAGACCTCTCCTAGCCAGAGAGTAAAGCAGGCTGCTCTTACAAGAGCAAATGTTGTAATCCAAGGGAGTATAGTGATTATAGCAATCCCCAGAGTGAATATAGCTGTCCCCTCCACAAATGAGACGAGGCTCTATGTTGAGGGTGAAGAACTCGTTTAATGGCAGCCACAACTGGCCTTATATGCAGGTCCCCATGCAAGGGGTTTACTCTAACATATTCCAGGGGCATTCCCCACTGGACCTGAGAGGGAACAATGACAAAGTACACACTTTACTTACATTGGCTATCAGGTCCAGGACACTCCCACACAACACAAGGTAATCCCTCCCCTGTGCCTGAGAGATAATTGAGTCAGGAACTGTACTAAACTCAATCATCTCCAGGCACAGAAAACACATATTTTAACAACCTCCCCAAATTATCCCCAAAACACATGGAAAAAACCCCACAAACGTCACATCCCCTCATAGCCCCGATCTGGGTGACCAACATATCCAAAAATCACCCAGATCGGTTCAGGGGTTCGGGATTTCCATGGAGGTCATAATTTGACTGTCCGCACACAAGGCTCCTGTCCAAAAGAGTTCCATAAAATCAGGCTGTGCGGTCGGTCTCTTTCGGGAGTTCATAATACAACAATATATACAAATGAAACTGTTCGTACTTGCTCTAAATCTGTGTCGATCGTTCGGGAGCTTGTTCCTGCCGAACGCCACTCCTCTCATGTGAATCCAGCCAAACGTACGAAGAGATGGAAGTCCCAGCGGTGTTCGCGCCGTCGAGTGTCGATTATAGTTCCATGCACTCAACAACCAAACACCGCTGTACGTGTTCGCGGTTAAAGATGGCCGCTGCCACATGTTTGCACATATGAACGACGACCACCCAGCCGATTGCTTAGAATCTTGCGCTTAAGGTGTTGATAGGGGTCAAAAGAGTCAACAAGTAGCACCCATGGGTGGTCTGGCTGTTCGCTAGTTCATTCGGTATACGAACCCAATAAGCATAAACTGTTTGGTGAACCCCATATACCAAACCAGCTAAGTCAAAAGGCACGAACAGAGCTTGTTAAATGTACAGGGGCCAAGGTCTATTGCAGGGACCTTAGTCCTGAGGTAGGAGGCTGGCTAGCGGGCTCCTCCAAGAGCCCATGGCGAGGTTACTATTGCCACAGTATCTTTATCTCTGACCTCTTTTCACAACTGGGCTCAGTAATTTGCCATTCCACTCACTCATGTGTGGAGGATGAAAGTTTGAATAATAAAGATTTGGATCTTGGTTGACCAACTATTACCCAGTCAGTTAGCCCATTCATTTATTTATATAACATTATTTGAACTTCTGCATTACAGCTGAAGGACAATATGATTGGCTATAAAAATAATCATTTTACATGTTAATTTATTTAACAATTTTCCTATTGGCTGTACCAATCAAAATAATTATTTAATTTGTTACAAATTCTGACTGTGAATTTATACACTCAAGCAAACCTTCGCATTGATTCCGATAAACTAAAATTTGTGGTAAATTTGTATAAATTTAGAGAGGGATTTTCAAATTTCTGAATTTTTTTCTGAGTTAAAAAGAAATAAATGACGCGTAGTAAATAATTCCATTATTCATACTCAGAATGAGAGGTCTTTAACTGCTTTTCACACAGCCCAACAAAGGGCCGGTTCTAGGAAAATCACAGGAAATTTAAAGGGTTTCCTGCAGTTGAATTCTAAACACGCGCTAATTCTTTGAAAGTCTGACTTGCCATTTAAAAGCTATTCAAAGAGCATAATAAAATAGTAACTGTTACTGTGCAACCGTAGAACCCTCCAGCTACTGAGGCATGTGAAATATGGGAAAGAGGACACAGTACTAATGCTGTAATTCAACCCTTATAACAAGCTATCAAACTTAGCTCCTCTCACACATAATGTACAAACACAGCAATTATTACAGAACTACAAACACTGCTGAGTGCCATACAATTGAAAGGAAAGACAAAATCCCATTAGTGGTCACAATAAAAAAAAGTTTAAATGTAAATACAATCATCACCTACCTAATCAGACGTTTCATGGCAACCTATCCCTTTGGAAAGGAATAACCTTTTTCTTGCAATTCAATATTAAAAATTTTAAGATACAAAGAATCTATATAATAGAAAAGTTGCATTAAATAACTGGTTGGTTACAGCTGTGTGTAAGAAATATTTACACACACTCACAAATAAAAATGTGGGTCTCTGAAAGATTTAACCTAGATATATAACATTTTGTCTAATTCAAAGGATGCTTCCTGAATATGTTCTATGAAAAACTATATTTTTGGAGTAATTCACAATAATGCAAATGTAATGCCTCTGAATTGCAAAATTCATGGAAAATCTCTAAATATGATCCAAAATTCCTGTTTGGGAAAATCAAAATTAGTCATGAATTAGCAAATCTGCTTTGGTGCACTTCCTTATCTACAAAAACAAAATAGCCTGAAAATGTTTGAAATTGTACTCAAATTATAGGAATTCAGAAATTTCTATAAAAACCATATTGCTATGAATTTGTACATTCCAATGCACATTCTGAGATGTCATGGCTTCTGACTTTGATGGACTGTTTACTTGTTTCCTTGAGGTCACCTTCAGTTTGGTTGATATGTGTCATATCACTCGATGCTGCCACGTTGCAGCAAAGTGCTTATCTTGTGCTGCATACATACATTCCATACATTCCATAGGGGGGAATATCGTGGTGCCATCGGAGAACGCTTTGGCTTTTGTCACCCGGAAGAACTCCTGTTATTTTTGTAAAGTCATGATGAAAGCTCCTATAAAAACGCTATTTACCTTGAATCCAGTACAAGATTGTCTCCTCTCCATTGGCTCCGCCTCCAGGAGATCATTACTATTTAAAGGAACACTATAGTCACCTAAATTACTTTAGCTAAATAAAGCAGTTTTAGTGTATAGATCATTCCCCTGCAATTTCACTGCTCAATTCACTGTCATTTAGGAGTTAAATCACTTTGTTTCTGTTTATGCAGCCCTAGCCACACCTCCCCTGGCTATGATTGACAGAGCCGGCATAAAAAAAAAAAAACTGGTTTCACAGATGTAATTTACCTAAAACAATTGTATCTCTTTCTCTGTAAATTGAACTTTAATCACATACAGGAGGCTCTTGCAGGGTCTAGCAAGCTATTAACACAGCAGGGGATAAGAAAATCTTAATTAAACAGAACTTGCAATAAAGAAAGCCTAAATAGGGCTCCCTTTACAGGAAGTGTTTATCGAAGGCTGTGCAAGTCACATGCAGGGAGGTGTGACTAGGGTTCATAAACAAAGGGATTTAACTCTTAAATGTTAGAGGATTGAGCAGTGAGACTGCAGTGGCATGTTCAATACACCAAAACTGCTTCATTGAGCTAAAGTTGTTCAGGTGACTATAGTGTCCCTTTAAAGGGAAACTACAAAGTTGTTTTCCTGGCACTATAGTTCTCTAACTAACCCTGTACACCATCCACACCCTCACGATGATCTATGTGTGGGACATGGACCCGCTCACTCAAAGTGGAGGGGTCAGTGGCCTATAGGTGAGGGTTCTTATTTCAACTTGGGCCTGGAGAAGTGGCATTTGGGGACATTACCATACTCAGTTGTTTCTATTTTATTACTACAGCTTTACAAGTTCAGGGGATTGGTTGATATTAAGATTTCTTGTCCAGCCATCTTGACAAGGTTATAGTCCACATGCCCCAGGTTTGCAGGACACTGTGCATGTTTCACTAATTTTTTTTAGGCTAGCCTAACTTGTTGGTTTACAGCTAGAAGTATGAATAAATCCGAGACAAGCACTTTTGTTTTTCACTTCTTATGTGGTTAAGTTTAATTTATCTTTTATAATTTACAAAATTGTGCCGATATGCTTACATGTACACTATCTTTTCACAGATACCCCTTCTTTGTTGCAAGATGAGATAACTGTCTGTGCAAAAATAAAAATAGTTCCAATTAATGTGCCGTGGAAAACTTGGGACTCGTTTCTATGCATGTTGCGATCAGTTATTGACAAGACAATAATATATAAAATAGCTGTTGCTAACATTACCATTTCTTGGCTGTTTCCATGTCTTACATTCCATAATTTCCCTTAAAATTTAAAAGGTGCACTCTAAGCTTGCTGTAGTTTTTTTGTTACCTAGAGTTCCTTGTGTGGCCCTTGGTATAATAACAAAATGTTTATGAATTATCTTTCTGATAATGTGGAAATATCACTTCTGCATTTTAAATGTAAATTTTGGAGAGTGCTGGAGTGTGTTAACGTCTCACCCACTCAAGGTCATCGAGTGGTTCTGAAATTATGGTTATTAAACTGAAGGACAGGGAACTCTAGGTCGATAACTGTAGAGCCTATGTTGCTTAAAGCGTCCCTTTAATTGGCGATAATAAATGTCAAGTAACACCTGGGTTGTTAAAATTCTGCTTTGAGCAATGAAACACTATATACCGTAATAATTATATTAACTATTATAGGCCTAATTTCTCAAAATGCTAAAATAACCAAACATTTACAATTCAAATGAATTTGTCAGCTCAGTGGGGGACATTTAGCAAAGACTTGCTGACAATTTTCCATCTAATTTTTCACATAATTGACTAAATTTGTTGGATTTTTTCATCTGTTTCTGCACCATGTCATTTTTTCACCAATGCAACATATTTCTGGCATTTTTTCTTCTGACAGAAAATTGCCAGAATATTTCTGCCACTATAATTTGGTAGTTGTCTGGAAAGTAAAATTCCTGGAATGACTTGCAGAATTTTCTATGAAAAAAACAGTCACTTTTAAGATAACTTAAAAAAAAAAAAAAATGCAATCAGAATAATGATGGATTTTAAAGGCAAACTATAGTGCTAGGAATACAAAATTAGATTTCTAGCACCTTCCCCCCATCCCCTTCAATTTGTCACTTACCTGATTCCAGCCCCGATGTCTCTCGGCACTGGGTCAGGCTCCCCCTCCACCGATGTCAGCCAATAGCGTAATTAACCCTGCAAGGTAATTATTGTAGTTTCTCGATAACTGCAATAATTACAATTTCAGGATTAATTGGACTGGGGCACTGCTCGTTTCAATGAGCTGAAGTGGGTGCCTATAGTGTTCCTTTAACAGTCACTTTTCGGAACACTTAGATAAATATGAAAATACAGTTGTAATCAAAGTCATTCAACCCCTATTGAAAATCAGGTTTATTGTTAAAAGTTACGGACTATAAGCTGTTTGCAATAAACGCATCAAATAAAAGCAAAGAATCCTGAATCCACCATAGCGTGTTACCAATTTCAGCAGAAATTCAAAACAAATTAGAGATACACACACATACTGTGTGGCAGAAAATTATTTAAGTTCACATCAACGTCCTCCATTATAGTTGAGGAAACAAAACACCCAAACAGCTATGGACATCACTCTAAGTCACATCACAATAAACAGAACTCAGTTTCACTTATACAGTTGCAAGAAAAAGTATGTGAACCCTTTGGAACGATATGGATTTCTGCACAAATTGGTCATAAAATGTGATCTGATCTAAGTCACAACAATAGACAATCACAGTCTGCTTAAACTAATAACACACAAAGAATGAAATGTTGCCATGTTTTTATTAAACACACCATGTAAACATTCACAGTGCAGGTGGAAAAAGTATGTGAACCCCTAGACTAATGACATCTCCAAGAGCTAATTGGAGTGAGATGTCAGCCAACTGGAGTCCAATCAATGAGATGAGATTGGAGGTGTTGGTTACAGCTGCCCTGCCCTATAAAAAACACACACCAGTTCTGGGTTTGCTTTTCACAAGAAGCATTGCCTGATGTGAATGATGCCTCACACAAAAGAGCTCTCAGAAGACCTACGATTAAGAATTGTTGACTTGCATAAAGCTGGAAAGGGTTATAAAAGTATCTCCAAAAGCCTTGCTGTTCATCAGTCCACGGTAAGACAAATTGTCTATAAATGGAGAAAGTTCAGCACTGCTGCTACTCTTCCTAGGAGTGGCCGTCCTGTAAAGATGACTGCAAGAGCACAGCGCAGACTGCCCAATGAGGTGAAGAAGAATCCTAGTGTGTCAGCTAAAGACTTACAAAAGTCACTGGCAAATGCTAACATCCCTGTTAGCGAATCTACAATACATAAAACACTAAACAAGAATGGATTTCATGGGAGGATACCACAGAGGAAGTCACTGCTGTCCAACAAAACATTGCTGCACGTTTACAGTTTGCACAAGAGCACCTGGATGTTCCACAGGAGTACTGGCAAAATATTCTGTGGACAGATGAAACCAAAGTTGAGTTGTTTGGAAGAAACACACAACACTATATGTGGCGAAAAAAAGGCACTGCACACCAACATCAAAGCCTCATCCCAACTGTGAAGTATGGTGGTGGGAGCATCATGGTTTGGGGCTGCTTTGCTGCGTCATGGCCTGGACGGATTGCTATCATCGAAGGAAAAATGAATTCCCAAGTTTATCAAGACATTTTGCAGGAGAACTTAAGGCCATCTGTCTACCAGCTGAAGCTCAACAGAAGATGGCTGTTGCAACCGGACAATGTCTCAAAGCATAGAAGTAAATCAACAACAGAATGGCTTAGACAGAAGAAAATACGCCTTCTGAAGTGGCCCAGTCAGAGTCCTGACCTCAACCCGATTGAGATGCTGTGGCATGACCTCAAGAAAGCGATTCACACCAGGCATCCCAAAAATATTACTGAACTGAAACAGTTCTGTAGAGAGGAATGGTCAAGAATTACTCCTGACCGTTGTGCACATCTGATCTGCAACTACAGGAAACGTTTGGTTGAAGTTATTGCTGCCAAAAGGAGGTTCAACCAGTTATTAAATCCAAGGGTTAACATACTTTTTCCACCTGCACTGTGAATGTTTACATGGTGTGTTCAATAAAAACATGGCAACATTTCATTCTTTGTGTGTTATTAGTTTAAGCAGACTGTGATTGTCTATTGTTGTGACTTAGATCATGATCAGATCACATTTTATGACCAATTTGTGCAGAAATCCATATCATTCCAAAGGGTTCACATACTTTTTCTTGCAACTGTAAGTCGGCTTGCCAATAAATCAACAACAACAAAAAAGTGCATTCAGATTTTATATATTTAGATAAGAAGCTGGTAATGGAA